AGTCTGTTCAGCGCCTTCCAAGTCGCCCTGTCTTCTGTGTGCCCAGGGGGAGTCTCTCATCTGGTATCACCCATGGATTGAGGTGCTGGGTTTGAGCCTGCCACTTTTGGACTCTCGCTTGCTGAGGTGTTCCAGCGAGTGTCTCTGTAGATCTAAGAAAACTATTTCTTGATTTAAGTTGTTGACATGCTGGCTGATACCCAAACAAGGGATGAGCTGGAGATGTCTCTGCCTTGGTCCTTTCACTATTGGCTGCTACTTCCCGGCGGATGTCAGGTGGTGCAATACCGGCTAGGCAGTGTAATTTCTCCAGTGGTGTAGGGTGCAGACACCCTGTGATAATGCGGCATGTCTCATTAAGAGCCACATCCACTGTTTTAGTGTGGTGAGATGTGTTCCACACTGGGCATGCATACTCAGCAGCAGAGTAGCATAGCGCAAGGGCAGATGTCTTCACTGTGTCTGGTTGTGATCCCCAGGTTGTGCCAGTCAGCTTTCGTATGATATTGTTTCTAGCACCCACTTTTTGCTTGATGTTCAGGCAGTGCTTCTTGTAGTCAGAGCACGGTCCAGAATGACTCCCAGGTATTTGGGTGCACTACAATGCTCCAGTGGGATCCCTTTCCAGGTAATCCTCAGAGCTCAGGATGCTTGTCTGTTCTTAAGGTGAAAGGCACATGTCTGTGTTTTAGATGGATTAGGAATCAGTTGGTTTCCCCTGTAATAGGCAGTAAGAGCACCTAGAGCTTTGGAGAGCTTCTGTTCAACCATCTCAAGACATCCGGGCGTCCCCTGGGCAACATCTTCGTAGACGGCTGATTCTCTTGCCTCAGAGGCAACCAGAAGCGACTTGCAGCATGCAAGCAAGCAGAGGAAAAAAAATGATTGGCATACAGGTTAATGCAATGATCAACATAATGAATAATCAACATAATGAATTTTAACAACAGAAAATTAGTTATTAGGTGTATGCCGATAATTATCAAAAACCAATTAATATTGACCATTGTAGTTATTGAATGTAATTGCTGTTTTAATGTTTTATTGTAATATGAATTATTATTATTTTTGACTGTATGTGATATTATGGTTGGGAACCGGTCTGAGTCCCTCGAGAGGTGAGAAGGTCGGTATACAAAACTTTTAAATAAATAAATAAATAAATAAATAAATAAATAAAAGCTAATATCCTGATTGTTATTGTTTTATTTAATACTAGCTATACCCACCACACGTTGCTGTAGCCAACTTACCCTCCCTCTTTCTCTCCTCCTTTCTTTCCTCCTTCCCTTTTTTTCTTTCATTCTCGCCTTCCTTCTCTTCCCTTCCTTCCTCCCCTTTTATTTCCTTTTTCTCTCTTCTTCCTTCTCTACCCATTATTGGACTGCAACTTCCAGCAGTCCCTCCTGATCAATCTATCTACCTATCTATCTCTAATCTATCTATCTTATCTATCTGGAGGATTGCTGGGAGTTGCAATCCAGGAATAGGAAATTGGAAATATGTAGGGTTTGGGATGCTTTCAAAGAAATCCAAGGAGAAGAAAGCTTGCAGCTTGGAAACAGTGCATTTGGATCATCCTCCTTTCCTAAAGGGCCTGGTCTAGGGGATGTTGGGAGCTGTAGTCCAAAAGAGAGTGTGGATATGCTATTGTGTTTTGTTTGCCGGGCGGGGGGGGGGGGGGGGGGGGGGGGGGGGGGAGTCATTTCTGCACATACGCTGTAGCGTCATTTTGCTTTTTTGGCTTTTAAAGTCCCTCCTGATGTGTTTTCCCGTGTTTTCATGAGTGATGGTCACTCGTTGGCCTGATAGGTGTCTTGTGTCCAAATTTCGTGTCAATTCGTCCAGTGGTTTTTGAGTTATGTTAATCCCACAAATGAACTTTACATTTTTATTTATATAGATGTATGTGGTTCTTGATGTGTATTTTTGTGATGCTGTGAGCTACTTTGTGGACTTTTTTTTTATTTGTCGTGTCAGATCAACCAGTCAATTAAAGTACATTTCTAACAGAACAAAGCAAACAAACAGATAAAATACAGCATTTGTGAGTTTGGTAGTTGGTTAAATGTCCTTTGACCAGTATCTGGCCACTTGGAGTGCTTCTGGTGTTGCTGCAAGAAGGTCCTCCATTGTGCATGTGGCAGGGCTCAGGTTGCATTGCAGCAGGTGGTCAGTGGTTTGCTCTTCTCCACACTCGCATGTCGAGGATTCCACTTTGTAGCCCCATTTCTGAAGGTTGGCTCTGCATCTCGTGGTGCCAGAGCGCAGTCTGTTCAGCGCCTTCCAAGCCGCCCAGTCCTCTGTGTGCCCAGGGGGAGTCTCTCATTTGGTATCAGCCATTGGTTGAGGTTCTGGGTTTGAGCCTGCCACTTTTGGACTCTCGCTTGCTGAGGTGTTCCAGCGAGTGTCTCTGTAGATCTTAGAAAACTATTTCTGATTTAAGTCGTTGACGTGCTGACTGATACCCAAACAGAGGATGAGCTGGAGATGTCTCTGCCTTGGTCCTTTCACTTGGTCCTTTCACTATTGGCTACTCCCAGGTATTTGGGTGCGCTGCAATGCTCCAGTGGGATTCCTTCCCAGGTGATCTTCAGAGCTCAGGATGCTTCTCTGTTCTTGAGATGAAAGGCACATGTCTGTGTTTTAGATGGGTTGGGGATCAGCTGGTTTTCCCTGTAATAGGCAATAAGAGCACCTAGAGCTTCGGAGAGCTTCTGTTCAACCATCTCAAAGCTCCCTGCTTGAGCGGTAATGGCACGATCATCAGCATAGATGAAACTCTCTGTCCCTCTGGCAGTGGCTGGTCATTTGTGTAGATGTTGAACATGGATGGAGCAAGCATCCATCTATGTTCTGGACTGTAATTATTGCATAATCTCAGTGTAAATAGAAAGGAAATCTACAGCACCTTTGACAGTAAACTGAATAAAACATATTTCTAGCATAAGCTTTGGTGGACTCCAAAGCTTCATCCAACACAGTCTCAAAGCTGCGACATTCCTTCATATCTTTCCGTACTGTAATAGACAGCAATGCCTTGAATTATGTCAATGTAATAAAATAAACAAGTAACAAAACAGGCAAATTAACAATTTCCCAGTCAAAGAAATATGATATTATATTATCTAAGTCATATCTTTGTTTATACTATACATGTTTATTTGAAGTTAGGCACTGAAAACTTTGGGCTATGTTGCCTTTAAGGGTGGAACATTTGGAATATTGTTTCCAATTCTGGGCACCACATTTAAAGAGAGATATTGACAAGCTGGAATGTGTCCAGAGAAGGGCAACTAAAATGATCAAGAGTCTGGAGAACAAGCCCTATGAGGAGCGGCTTAAAGAGCTGGGCATGTTTAGCCTGAAGAAGAGAAGGCTGAGAGGGGATATGATAGCCATGTATAAATATGTGAGAGGAAGCCACAGGGAGGAGGGAGCAAGCTTGTTTTCTGCTTCCCTGGAGACTAGGACATGGAACAATGGCTTCAAACTACAAGAAAGGAGATTCCATCTGAACATGAGAAAGAACTTATTTACTGTGAGAGCCGTTCAGCAGTGGAACTCTCTGCCCCGGAGTGTGGTGGAGACTCCTTCTTTGGAAGCTTTTAAACAGAGGCTGGATGGCCATCTGTCAGGGGTGCTTTGAATGCAATATTCCTGCTTTTTGGCAGGGGGTTGGACTGGATGGCCCACGAGGTCTCTTCCAACTCTATGATACTATGATGGCTTTTTGATCCCTTATTTCCCATGAAGAGGATAAATAGCCACACCAAGAGCAGTTTTCCTTTTAAATAGAGGGCAGCTCCCCACCCACTACATTCCTTAATATCACATAATACCAATTTTTCAAAAATAAAATGGAACTTATAGCAACTTCAAATTTTTTCCCAATTTTTAGGCAATCTAAGTGACTCCTAGAGTAGAGAATTGCTCTCTTATATTGCCAGCAGTCCTGTTTTGAGTTCTGCCTCCCCATCACACTCACACACACGTGTGAGTGTGATGGGGAGCTGGCAATAGATTCATCTTACATTCATCACAAGGTCACTTTTCCTTTTTTGTTATTAAATAGTTGTTAGTAACTGTTACTATACCTCTGATCAATGTCTGTCATGCGTATCCAGGTCCTGTTTACCTTGCTAGCCCAATTAACACCTTCGGTAATAATCAACTTATATACCCCAAAGAATTCAGTTGGCTCTGGCAAATTGATGCTTCTGTTTGATGCTTTGTTCTATGTTGATATAATTTGTATTGGCTGGAATCACTGGGTAGTTATGAGTTTTTTGGGCTGTATAGCCATGTTGCAGAAGCATTCTCTCATGACATTTCACCTACATCTATGGCAGGCCTCCTCAGAGGTTGTGAGGTCTGTTGGAAACTGATATAATTTATATAATTTATTTGATAGATTATGTTTTATCTTAATTTTTAAATGTTAAGTTATATTTTGCTTTATATGTTGGTTTATTATTTTTGCTATTGTGTATGTTTTTTTGTTGTATTCAGGCATTGAATGTTTGCCTTTTTGTGACTGGAATAATAATAATAATAATAAAAATAATAATAAAACTTTATTTATACCCCGCCTTCCCCAAGGAGACTTGGGGCGCCCATCAATACAGTAAACACAATATAACACAAAAGCACAACAGAAAATCAGAAAATAAAATGCATAAGATACAAAACCAATATAAATAAGTGACACATCAATATAAAATCAAAAATTAAAACACAAATGATCACACTGGGCAGGGCCCTGAGATCCTTTGGGGAGATAGGGCGGAATATAAATAAAGATTATTATTATTATTATTATTATTATTATTAATCAGGAGAAACAACATTATCTGAAAACCAAGAGATCCCTTGCCCTACCCAAATCACATCATGTGGCCCACACATTGGAGGTATTTTGGAGATTCACAGTTGGGACTATGGTACTTGGGTAATAACAATTGCATAATACAAATAATATCTCTGTGCTTATTTCACAGGTTTTTCTTCTGCTTGGTTTTATGAGCCTCACAACTTCTTTGGATGCAGAAGGTGAGATGTTGTCTCTTCATTACATTTTCCAGGTGTTTCCAACTATTATGTCTACAGCAATAGACAACAATGAAGTCGCACTTCCATGTTCTCCACGAGTTACCATTTTTCACCTGAGCTGACTTGCATGAGTCATCCTGGCATTAGGGATATCCTTCTCGTAGCTGGATGAGTCAGAGCTGCTTTATAGAGTAGTCGCCTAGAAATTGGTTATTCATCTACACCAGTGGTTCTCAGCCTGTGGGTCCCCAGGTGTTTTGACCTACAACTCCCAGAAATCCCAGCCAGTTTGCCAGCTGTTAGGATTTCTGGGAGTTGAAGGCCAAAACATCTGGGGACCTACATACAGGTTGAGAACCACTGATCTACACCGTTGAACTTTAGCTTGTAGATTTTAATTCTGTAGCCAAAATAACACTGCTAGTGTGCAAGAGGAAGCTATCAAAAGCTTGAAGGAATTCCTAAAGAGCTTAAATTAAAAGGGGGGGGGGGATATGAGAAAAACATTGGTCTACAGAGCTTTAGACCATTAATGTCTGAAGATGTTCATGGTCGTGGTATGCTGACTGACCTCATGCTTGCTTTGATTTTATAGCAAGCCCAGCTTCAGTTATTGAACAGAAGGAGGATGCTGCAGGTGAATCCACAATGGAACCCCAGTTGTTTTCAACACGTGAGTTTTATGGCTTGGTAAATAATCTCTGGTCAATATGGCTAAGGCCCTTTCCACACATCTGCATAAAATCCACATTGAACTGGATTATATGGCCGTGTGGACTCAGATATTCCAATTCAAGACAGATAATTGTGGATTATCTGCCTTGATATTAGGAGGACCCTTCCACACAGCCCCATATCCCAGAATATCAAGGCAGAAAACCCCACATGTGGACTCAATAACCCAGTTCAAAGCAGATCTTGTAGGATTTTCTGCCTTGATATTCTGGGATATAGGGCTGTGTGGAACGGCCCTGGGTTATACGGTTGTGTGAAAGGGCCCTGAGGATATTTGGCCCTCTGCAGAAAGGCTGTATCTACATGCCAGCCCAAAGATAGTTGTTTTGTAGTGCAGCTAGCATCTGCATGCTCCTTCCTTGAAGGTATTTGCTTCTCTTACCATCTTTCCCTACCACATGCTCAGCTGTTTAATGAAAGGAGCAACATAACTGAATATGTGCATGATTTTAAGTGAAGAGGAAAGGGTCAAGTATTTTCTCCTTGTGCTGTATTTCCACTCTAAAGTCATCCCTCTTAAAGCTGCTTTTCATTTTAAAACAAGCCTCTGCTTCAAGCATTTGTGAGACAACTTCTTAGCAATGTGTGATGCTGTTTCCTTCTTGTGGTATCAGGGTTTTAATGTCCATTAGCTGGGATGGAGAAATAAGATCCTTTTACAGAGATGTGGAAAGGGCACATTTCCTGCGCTATGCCCATATATTTCTTCGTTACCACACCATTGCTGGTTACATTAGTTTGGTAGGTTTCTGAAACTGTACAGAAGCCTTAAGAACCTGTTTGATGAGAGACAGACATGGGAAGTGTCCTCACCACCAGCGGCAATCCTTTTTTTCAAACAAATGTCACAAAAACAGGAGGGCCCTATCATTCTTCTGATAGTCCTACTGTGGATAGAATTGGTACATCATTTGGCTGATGAAACAGGCTTCTAAACTTAATTTCTTCTGATATTTGCATATCACCTGTTATTCCATGATGACTTCCAGGCAGGGGCGGCTCAACCATTACGCAAAGTAAGCCTTTGCAGTATAGTTGATTTTGCCCAGGGGCACTCTTGAGGCGCTCTTGGGGGAAAATAGACCTTGACATATGCGAGTTGTAGTTACTGGGATGTATAGTTCACCTAAAATCAAAGAGCATTCTGAACTCCACCAATGATGGAATTGAACCAAATATGGCACACAGAACTTCCATGACGAACAGAATTGATTGGTTGGGGGGGTGGGGGGGGTGGGCAAAATACGGTTTCCTTACCATTGAAAATTACCTAGGGCCTCCTCTGCTTCCAGGTAATTGTTGTAGATCGGCCACCAGAAGCTGATGGTTTAACTGATGATTTAGACAGGATTGTGAGCTTTCCTGTGGCACAATAATGGGTTCTCAAGTCTGGAAAATTCATGTCTGGGAAATGATTGTTCTCTCTGAGAAAAATAGCTTGGAAAGTGCAGGGCCTAAAGGGCATTCAGGGGAGTCAGAAGAAGCAACAGCAGATAAGGAATCGAGTGAAGAGCTAAGGAGGATTCCCATGGGAACCCATTTGTAGCTACAGAGATCAACAAAGGTCTTCATTTACAAATTGGAGCTGAAAATAGATTGCGTCGTTCAGAGAGATTACGTGGGAAAACTGTGAAGGAAATTCATGGGAAATGGAATAATTTCATGGGTGTCTAAAACAACAAGTCATTTACTTTAAGGTCAGTTCAGGCAAAGCTGCATTAGAGTGAGAAGCTAAGCTTGAGTTCTCTTGTTCCTGGTTCAAGTCAAGCTTTGATTTTAGATTTTATATATATCCTGAAGTATTCTATGTTTCTGTTCATGTACTCCTTTGTTATACCTTCTTGATTGTGGACTTATGCTGTATTATTATTATTATTATTTCGGTTGCTTCTACCCCGCCCTTCTCACCCCGAAGGGGACTCAGGGCGGCTTACAAAAGCAAGGCACAATTTGATGCCCGCATCACATAACAACAAAAAGACAAAATAACATCAGTTAACAGAAAACAGCAATTCTAGCAATAACATCAATTAACAGAAACAACAATTCTTGCAAGGCGAAAACAACCATAAAACCAGTAAAAGCAATAAAACTAATACAAACCATTTCTCCTCATTGATGGTCAGCGTTTCACAATCTCATAGTTCAAATTCCAATTCCACAATTGTCAGTCCTGTCAGTCCTATCCATCTGGTTGTCCAGATCTAGTTGTCAGATTGCCCGAAGGCCTGGTCCCACAACCTTGTCTTTACCTTCCTCCTGAAGGAGAGGAGGGATGTTGATGCCCTAATTTCCCCTGGGAGTGAGTTCCACAGGTGAGGGGCCACCACTGAGAAGGCCCTGCTCCTCGTTCCCACCAACCTCACTTGTGTATCTGTGATTTCTACCTGTTCCCGGACTTTGTCACCTCTGGAACTTTATGAGACCTTTGGATTATTGTTTGGTCATTACCTGTTGCTAAATCTTTTTGGATTATATAGCTTCCTTTCTTATTCCTGAATATTTATATGCTGTTTATATGTTTTTACAATAAACTGTTTCTTTATATTCCTGGACTCTTGTGTAGTGTGGTGGTCATAGGTATTTCCGGGCCTGGAGCACAACAGTAACAGACAGAACTAAAAACATTTATTTAAAGCAAATTAAAATTTAAAAAACAGGTTAAAACACACAATAGGCAATTAAAACCAAGAGCTACCCTGGTTTTCTGGTTGAAGTTATTCTAAGGCAGTTTTTTCTCTTCCATAGCCTCATCTTATATGGCAGAGGGATTGGCAGATGCAAGTACTGAGCTGAACTTCCTGCAAGAACTTGAGACAACAAATGGTATGTGGCAGAGAACATATCTGGGCTGGAATCCTTTAATAATATTGATCTCAGTTCTCTATGGAACTTGGAAGGGTTATTGCTTTGGAGGCCCCCCCCCCCCCCCCCCATACCACAAGAAAGAAACAGCATCACAAGAAAGAAACAGCATCACACATTGCCAAGAACAAGTACTTCCAGCATAGAGGTATCTCCCAATCGTAAGTGCTTTTGTAGTCTGAAGGCACCATCAAGGTAAAAGTGGGAGGCAAAAGCAAGAACTCTCAAGATGCCAGAAGACCAAAAATATTTATAGGGCAAAAGTTTTCAGGAGGATGGAAATACCCCTTAAAATAGACCACTGAAGACTGATGTTCAGTGTTCATAAGGAATTATTCTTGGGATGGAGAATAAAATGGAGTATCTTGGCAGAAGGCATGGCTGGCTGGTTGTAACTGTACTCTACATGACATTATTGGCCCGACTACAGTCTTTCCCTGAGCAGCTGAACTTGCTGTCTGAAAGGTCGACAGTTCGAATCCAGGGAGTGGGGTGAGCTTCCACTGTTAGCCCCAGCTTCTGCCAACCTAGCAGTTCGAAAACATGCAAATGTGAGTAGATCAAGAGGTACCACTTCGTCATGGAGGCCACATGACTTTGGAGGTGTCTATGGACAATGCTGGCTTTTCGGCTTAGAAATGGAGATGAGCACCCCCTTCCCTCGCCCCAGAGTCAGAAACAATTAGACTTAATATCAAGGGGAAACCTTTACCTTTACAGTCTTTACAGATTTATTATCAGGATCTTTTTCAAATTTGGCTAATATGGCAATTGTAGTCATACCTGGATGGAGGCAGCCTGACCACCAATATTATGCTTGTATCATAGAATGACAGAGTTGGAAGAAACCTCATGGGCCATCCAGGCCAACCCCCTGCCAAGAAGCAGGAAAATCACATTCATAGTTAAAGGGTTGGTTTAAAAGCAAGTGTATATTATTCGGCCCCAAATCTCAGAATATTTTTTCTTCTTAAGGATTTCTGTCTCACCTCTACATTTTTTCATATTCTTTCCTTGGCTTATAATCAAAATCACAAAAGCAAATGAAGCGATAACTACAGCTGAAACTGAAACATCAACAATGGCAATTGTCACCACCAACAATATGAAGACCCCAAGGTTTGCAGGTGAGCACTACAAACCAGCCAGGGGATTGGGGAATCTCTTTGAGAAAGACTGGGGGAGAGAACTGACCAAACAACCTTGGTATTCCAAACTCAACCGAATGGCTTCTCTGTATTGTCTTTTTCAGGAGTAACTCCAGCTGAAGTGCCACCTGATGACCAGAAGATGAAAACAGGTATATTCAAAAGAAAGAGGGAAAACTTGGCTGTTTTGGGGTTGCTTTTCCTTCAGAAACAGTGGTTGTGCCTGTTTGTATCTTTAGAACAGTGTTCCTCAACCTGAGGGTCGGGACTCCTGGGAGGTTGCAAGGGAGTGCTAGAGGGGTCACCAAAGACCATCAGAAAACACAGTATTTTCTGTTAGTTATGAGGGTTCTGTGTGAGAAGTTTGGCCCAACTCTATCATTGGTGGAGTTCAGAATGCTCTTTGATTGTAGGTGAACTATAAATCCCAGCATCTACAACTCAAGGTCTATTTTCCCCAAATTCCCCCAGTGTTCACATTTGGGCATATTGAGTATTTGTGCCAAGTTTGGTCCAGATCCATCATTGTCTGAGTCCACAGTGCTCTCTGGATGTAGGTGAACTACAACTCCCAGACTCAAGGTCAATGCCCACCAGACCCTTCCAGTATTTTCTCTTGGTCATGGGAGTTCTGTGTGCCAAGTTTGGTTCAATTCCATAATTGGTGGAGTTCAGAATGCTCTTTGATTGTAGGTGAAATATAAATCCCATCACGTACAACTCTCAAATAACAAAATCAATCCCCCCCACCCCACCAATATTCAAATTTGGGTGTATCAGGTATTTGTGCCAAATTTGGTCCAGTGAATGAAAATACATCCTGCATAGCAGCTAATTACATTATGATTCATAACAGTAGCAAAATTACTGTTATGAATTAGCAACGAAAATAATGTTATGATTGGGGGTCACCACAACATGAGGAACTGTATTAAGTGGTCACGGCATTAGGAAGGCTGAGAAACACTGATCTAGAACAAAGATGAGGTTTTTGGACTGTGACTGCCAAAATCCCATAACCATGACTTTGGGATTACAGAAACACTGGAAAGAGCCTCATCCCCTCAATACATATTCAATTTCTTTGTAATTAAGTAATTATTTATTGACATTGAGAATCAGGATGATATTGAACTAAGGGTAATTGGGGAAAATTGGAGAATGCTCTTGAGATTCTCTGAACTTTGGGAGCTGGCTCCGCTGCTTACAGGTTCACAGTGCACGTACACCCCCCCCCCCCCATGGGATTGTCCTGTGTAGATGTGCCCAAAGACTCCAAGAGACAGATTTTCAATCCCTGCTCAGGTATGGAAATCCATGGTATGACCTTGGGCAAGTCTCTCAGCCCTGGAGGAAGACTTACATTACTTAGGCGATCCCTCGTAGCCCAAGGATGACCAAGTCCAGTGTCTTGGCGGTGGGTTCTTAGGTGGTTGTGGAGCTCTATTCTTGATCCACATGTTCTCACACAATGAGGACATTGGTTTCCAGGTGGAAAGCAGTCCCAGTCGGGGTTAGCTTGATGTGCCTTCCTCTTGGTATGTTTCTCCCTTTCGCCCTCCATTCATGCCTCTTCAAATTCTGCAGCACTGCTGGTCACAGCTGACCTCCAGTTAGAGCAGTTAAGGGCCAGGACTTCCCAGTTCTCGGTGTCTATGTCACAGTTTTTAAGGTTGACTTTAAGCCCATCTTTAAATCTCTTTTCCTGTCCACCAATGTTATGTTTCCCTTTCTTCAGTTGGGAGTATAGTAACTGCTTTGGGAGATTGTGATAGTGTATTTGGACGATGTGGCTGGTCCAGCAGAGCTGATGGTGTAGGAGCATCGCTTCAATGCCGGTGGTCTTTGCTTCTTCCAGCACGCTGATATTTGTCCACCTGTCTTCCCAAGAGATTTGCAGGATTTTTCAGAAGGCAATGGCCAATTAACCCAAATACATCTTGCCTAGAAAAGCCCATAATAGAGTTGTTGTAAGTTGTAAGCTGGCTTGAAATCGTGTAGCAAAAAAACAAAAAACAAAAAACAAACCCCCCAAAACCTGTTATTCATTACAAAGCAAAAGCAGTTCCATGCAGAAATCCATGTCTGTTGGGATGGACAGGAACCAATGGTTGCCAATTGGATATAAATCCACCACCCCTTTCCATTAAAAATAATAGGATTTGCTATTACGGTCTGAAGTATCACATATCTACATGAAGTCTGGAACTATATTTCCTTCAGATATTGGGATTGTACTGTATATATGTTTCACTGTGTCTAGATATTAACAAATGCCCACATAAAGGAAATTATATATGAGGCATTGGGAACTGGTACCGTCATGTATATGAGGAGGATTGAACTGAAGTTCTTATGGTAGCAAAACTGCATTTTTTTTCCATCTAACATTCTTTTTTTATTTTTGCAGACTTTGAAAAGATCGATTACAATCATGATTTTTTCCATTATGGTAAGTCTCAAGATAAAGAAAGTGATGTTTCCTATTGAGTCCTCAAAGGGTTTGGAATAAACGATGCCTATGCCTGGTGCTTTTCATCCTTGCTGGCTTTGTTTTTGGGAAATAGATTTTGCAGGCTTTGGGATGTCTAAAAGGGCTGCACAATTTGTTTCATTAGAGACAATCAACTGTGCTCTCTGCTTCCTTGCTGTGATCTCTAGTGTTCCTGGAAACAGCTGAACGGTCTGCTTGTGGCTGAGAAGCCGGGCGCTGTGCCAGCACAGCAATTTGTCATGAGCAGGCTTGCACCTAACAAAGTGGTGATATTTGGGAAGATGGGCTGTCCTTAATGTCTCAAAGCTTTTAGACCTTCTAGAATCACTTCACCTGAAGCCTGGGCATTTGGAATACATTGATCTCACAGGCCGAAGTGATACGCCTGACATTCAGTACTATCTCTTGCAAGTTACAGACGCTAGAACAGTACCTCGTATCTTTATTGGAGATACCTGTATTGATGGTTTTACAGACCTAGATGCTCTGAATAAATCTGGAGAACCTGAGTCCCTGTTAAAGAAAATTGGAACCTTGTGAAGAGCAGAGATGCCTGTAGCCTGGGACTATCTCATGCCACAACACAAGACTTTGGAAACCATAGTCACCTACGGACATGAGAGCTGGACCATAGGGAAGGCTGAGCGAAGGAAGATAGATGCTTTTGAACTATGGTGGTGGAGGAAAGTTCTGAGAGTGCCTTGGACCATCAGAAGATCCAACCAGTCCATACTCCAGGAAATAAAACCCGACTGCTCATTGGAGGGAAGGATATTAGAGGCAAAGTTGAAGTACTTTGGCCACATCATGAGAAGAAAGGAAAGCTTAGAGAAGACAGTTATGCTGGGGAAAATGGAAGGAAAAAGGAAGAGAGGCCGACCAAGGACAAGATGGATGGATGGCATGCTTGAAGTGACTGGATTGACCTTGAAGGAGGTGGGGGTGGTGACGGCCGACAGGGAGCTCTGGCATGGGCTGGTCCATGAGGTCACAAAGAGTCGGAAACGACTGAACAAATGAACAACAACAACAACAAAAACAAGCCACTCTGAGTCCCCTTCGGGGTGAGAAGGGCGGCCTATAAATGTCCTAAATAAATAAATAAATAAATAACTGATGTCAGGGTTTAATTTACTGATGCTAGATTTTTAATTTGATGTTAGGTTTTAATGTTATTTTTATATGTGGGGTTTTTCTGGGATATTATGTTAGTATCATGAATGTTTGTCATTGTTATGTTGAAATCTACCCTGAGGGAGATAGGGCGGAATACAAAAAATTATTATTATTATTATTTTATTTCAAATGTCTTTAAGTAATATTAAGAATTGGCTCTTGTTCCAGATATTGTTTATCCACCAGCATTAATGCATTTCAGCATGCCATTTGATGTTCATATTAAAGGCTCTGTTTTTGTTTTGTTTTTTCTATTTCAGATTACCACTTCCTGCGCAAATGGGGTTTAGTAGCCGCTGCCATCTTGTTCATCCTTGGCATTCTCATTCTCACCTGTAAGAATGGATGACTGGCATGAATGCATCTGAAATCATCTAACATGAATGCATAAGAAATTTCGGTTTTGTTGTTATGCGGGTGGGAACAGTGTAACAAGCTTATTTTATTCATTCATTCATTCATTCATTTAGTATTGCCACAGGACCCAGGGCAACTTACTTGGCTAAAACAAGGCTGAAAACCTGATGGAAAAAAAAAGGTTACAACACAATGAAAGAGGCCATGATTAGATTTAAAGTGATTATGTTTGAAATGATCTTACCGAAGTGTGAAATAATTTCAAACATGTCATTAAAGATAATATTAGAGTACATTACGCATGCATATCATTTAAAAAAACCCCTTCCTGCAACCACATAAGAATCAAGTACTTTTGGTTGCTGATAAAAGAATAGAAAGGGGGCTAACCTGTGTATTTCAGGATTTTGAAGCACATATGAACATAATCTGGTATGTTGGAATTGGATCCTTCATAAAGAGAGAAAGGTACTTCATGGAATGTACAAATATAGGCAATACATGACTATTTTATCGTATCAGGAGCAGACCAAACAGTTGTATTGTATTTAAAAACAAAACAAAAAAACCCCCACAAAGTTTGCTAACTTGGCATTCTATTAAATGTGCTTGAACTGTAGCTGGCCACTTGGAGTGCCTCTGGGGTTGCTATAAGAAGGTCCTCCATTGTGCATGTGGCAGGGCTCAGGTTTCATTGTAGTAGGTGGTCTGTGGTTTGCTCTTCTCCGCATTTGCATGTCGTGGATTGCACTTTGTAGCCCCATTTCTTAAAGTTGGCTCTGCATCTCGTGGTGCCAGAGCGCAGTCTGTTCAGCGCCTTCCAAGTTGCCCAGTTTTCTGGGTGCCCAGGAGGGAGTCTCTCATTTGGTATCAGCTATTGATTGAGGTTCTGGATTTTAGCCTGCCACTTTTGGACTCTCGCTTGCTGAGGTGTTCTAGTAAGTGTCTCTGTTTCTTGATTTAAGTCGTTGGCGTGTTGGCTGATATCTGAACAGGAGATGTCACTGCCTTGGTCCTTTCACTACTGGTTGCTATTTCCTGGCAGATGTCAGGTGATGCAATACTGGCTAAACAGCATAATTTCTCCAGTGGTATAGACACCCTGTGATAATGCGGCATGTCTCATTAAAAGCCACTGTTAAAAATCCACTGTTTTAGCATTGTAAGATGTGTAAATTAGTCAGTTGTTTATTCCTAATGGCATCATTTTCAACTGTCCCTAATTGATATTTTGAAAATCTGGCAGTATCACTTTCACAACATTATTTCCTATCTCTGAGACATCAGGGTTGTAGTTCCTTAGACATCACTGGCTTTCCATTTCATTCCCTTCAGTTCTTGACATATGAATTATAATTCTTTGTTCTCTCTCCATTTCCAGGTGGTAAACACGGGAAATTCCCAAGATGCCGTGGAAAGAAACGGGCAAGGTAGGATGCCATCCACCCTGACCCCCTTTCCCCTTTTCTAATCCATTATTATAAGGAGCCCTCGGTGGTGCAATGAGTTAAACCCTTGTGACAGCAAGATTTCCCTGTACCACTCTTCTACCACTCTTTTTACACGGTCTGCCAAGGCTTTAATGGTGCTTCTTTTTTTTTTTGACTTGGGTGATGGTTGGACACAGCATTTTATTTGAGAACACAGAAATGCTGGACCACTCTCACAACCACCATGTCAGACTACACAGAGAAGCCATTGACATACACAAGCATGTGGACAATTTCAACAGAAAGGAGGAAACCATGAAAATGAACAAAATCTGGCTACCAGTATTAAAAAACTCTGAAATTACAACAGCACAACAACAGAGAGGAAACAAACAAGGACATCTAATCACCTCTCAACAAAGGTTTGCTCCAGGCACTATCAGGCCATTATATGCTAATCAAGGTGGTCAGTTGAAACATTCACACCTAGCTCCAGCAGACAAGAGTCCTTTGTCATTCCACAGATATATAAACCCTTTTCCTAGTTCCAACAGACCTCACTACCTCTGAGGATGCTTGCCATAGATGCAGGCGAAACGTCAGGAGAGAATGTCTCTAGACCATGGCCATATAGCCCGAAAAACCCAACCATCTGATACTCTGTCCCCTTCCTTTTACAGGACCTATGATGTGGCCCAGGCCTGAAGCCACTTCATATCCTGAGGAGCATTTGCACTGACACAAGCGCATCAATCAGCGTCACCCTGGATGTATCATATGGAAGCCTTTCCTATTCTTCTCCATGGAAAAAAATAGCTGCTTAACTTCTCTCAACGCAGTCCCCAACATCCTATCTATCTGACCTCCCAATATATATATTTCCCTGCTTTTCCTACAACACCAATTCAATTCTTTTTGGCTCTACACCTAAGATATATTTTCATTAAACTAATTTCCCCTGTGGAACCAGAAAGATTGAAAGAATCGTGGACTGAACTTTCATTTCTTTGTGCGACCTCAGGTTGAGAGAGACTTGAGTTGCCAAGAGAAACCTCATTGTGCCAATTCTGTTCCAAGAAGTCTCATGTTCTGTACTCACAATAATACTTTTGGGCGTGTTTTTTTTTCCCCTCCTATGTTTTCTGGCTTTGTTTCTTTGTTCTTTTGTTACCCTTTGCATATGAGGCCATGATAATATGAAAGGCCTGAATTGTCACATAAATACACGCTACCAGATGAAGTTACGACTGCCTTCATTTGCACCTGAGGACTCCAATTCTTGATTGAATGAAGACAAACATGGGATTAGTGCTGGTATTTAAACAACTTGAAATATGAGCTCTTTATACTGGGTATCTTATATTATTCTTTGGAATAACAAAGATTCAGTGCCATTACTTCACCATCACCTCTTTGGTGCAACATTTTCAACCCTATGGACAGCAGATCTCACCTGATCTTGGAAAGGTCCCCCCTAGTGGCGCAACAGGTTAAACTGCTGAGCTGCTGAACTTGCTGATCGAAAGCTTGGTGGTTCGAATCAAGGGAGCAGAGTGAGCTCCCGCTGTTAGCCCCAGCTTCTGCCAACCTAGCAGTTTAAAAACATGCAAATGTCAGTAGATTAGTAGGCACCGCCTCTGCGGGAAGGAATGGTACTCCATGCCTTCATGCAGGCCACATGACTTTGGAGGTGTCTACAAACAATGCCGGCTCTTTGGCTTAGAAATGGAGATGAACACCACACCCCAGAGATGACTAGACTTAATGTCAGGGGAAACCTTTACCTTTAAATACCCCAAGGACAGCAGATCTCATCTGATCTTGGAAACAAAGCAATATAAGCCATGATTAGTATTTGGATGGGAAACCACCAATGAAAGCCAGATGTTATAGGCTATATGTCAGAGGAAGGAACTGCTCTGAGTATTCCTTGCTAAAGAAAACCCAGTGAAATTTGTGGGGTTGGAATAAGTCAAGAGGTGGAGTTCCAAATCCTCTTTGATTGTAGGGAAATATAAATCCAAGCAACTACAACTTCCAAATGCCAAGGTCTATTTTCCCCAAACTCCACCAGTGTTCACATTTGGGCGTATAGGGTATTCATGCAAAGTTTGGTTCAGATCCATCATTGTTTATATCCACAATGCTCTCTGGATGTAGGTGAACTACAACTCCAAAACTCAAGATCAATGCCCACCAAACCCTCCCAGTATTTTCTTTTGGTCATGGGGGTTCAGTGTGGGATGTTTAGCCCCAATTCTATCACTGGTGGAATTCAGAATCCTCTTTGATTGTAGGTGAACTATAAATCCAAGCAACTACAACTCCTAAATGTTAAGGTCTACTTTCCCCAAATTCCACCAGTGTTCACATTTGGGCATATCGAGTATTTTTGCCAAGTTTGGTCTAGATCCATCATTGAGACCACAATGCTCTCTGGATGTAGGTGAACTACAACTCCAAAGTCAAGGTCAATGCTCACCAAATCCTTTCAGTATTTTCTTTTGGTCATGGGGGTTCAGTGTGGGAAGTTTGGCCACAATTCTATCATTGGTGGAATTCAGAATCCTCTTTGATTGAAGGTGAACTATAAGCCCCAGCAACTACAACTCCCAAATGTTTTCCCCAAACTCCACCAGTGTTCACATTTGGGCATATTGAATATTCATGTCAGGTTTCGTCTAGATCTCATTGTTTGAGTCCACAGTGCTCTCTGGATGCAGATGAACTACAACTCCCAAACTCAAGGTCAATTCCCATCAAACCCTTCCAGTATTTTCTGCTGGTCATGCGAGTTCTGTGTGCCAAGTTTGGTTCAATTCCACCATCAGAATCCTCTTTGATTGTAGGTGAACTACTACAACTCCCAAATGTCAAGGTCTCTTTCCCCCCAAACTCCACCAGTGTTCACATTTGGGCATATTGAGTATTTGTGCCAGTTTTGGTCCAGAATCCACAGTGCTCTCTGGATGTAGGTGAACTACAACTCCAAAACTCAAGATCAATGCCCACCAAACCCTTCCAGTATTTTCTTTTGGCCATGGGGGTTCAGTGTGGGAAGTTTGGCCCCAATTCTATCACTGGTGGAATTCAGAATCCTCTTTGATTGTAGGTGAACTATAAATCCCAGCAACTGCAACTTCCAAATGTCAAGGTCTATTTTCCCCAAACTCCACCAGTGTTCCCATTTGGGCATATTGAGTATTCGTGCCAAGTTTGGTCCAGATCCATCATTGTTTGAGTCCACAAGTTCAAGGTCAACGCCCACCAAACCCTTCCAGTATTTTTTGATGGCCATGGGAGTCCTGTGTGCCAAGTTTCGTTCAATTTCATCGTTGGTGGAGTTCAGAATGCTCTTTGATTGTAGGTGAACTATAAATCTCAGCAACTACAACTCCCAAATGTCAAGGTCTATTTCCTCCAAACTCCATTTGTGTTCATATTTGGGCATAAGGAATATTCGTGCCAAGTTTGGTCCAGATCCATCATTGTTTGAGTCCACAGTGCTCTCTGGATGTAGGTGAAGTACAACTCCCAAACTCAAGGTCGATGCCCCCGAACCCTTCTAGTGTTTTCTGTTGGTCATGGGAGTCCTGTGTGCCACGTTTGGTTCAATCCCATCGTTGGTGGAGTTCAGAATGCTCTTTGTAGGTGAAGTATAAATCCCAGCAACTGCAACTTCCAAATGTCAAGGTCTATTTTCCCCAAACTCCACCAGTGTTCCCATTTGGGCATATTGAGTATTCGTGCCAAGTTTGGTACAGATCCATCATTGTTTGAGTCCACAGTGCTCTCTGGATGTAGGTGAACTACAACTCCAAAAGTTCAAGGTCAACACCCACCAAACCTTCCAGTATTTTTTGTTGGTCATGGTAGTCCTGTGTGCCAAGTTTGGGTTAATTCCATCGTTGGTGGATGTCAGAATCAGGGCCATAGCCAGAAAAATTTTTTGGGAGGGGTTGAAATTTTCGGGGGGGGGGGGGGGTTGAAAATTTCGCGGGGGTGTGTGTGTGGAAACCTGCTTCCTAGCTCACACTGAAGCAAAGAGCACAGAGCACAGCAGGGGGCAGAGCAGCCTTCAATAGTCTGCATCTCTGCCCCTGTCAACCACCTCCACCAAGTCTGGCCTCCTTAATGAGAACATTCAACACACACACCCCACAATGACAGTAATAATAATAATAATAATAATAATAATAATAAACCTTTATTTGTACCCCAGTACCATCTCTTGGAGGACTCGGTGCGGCTTACAAGAGGCTGAGCCCAAATACACAACAGTAAAAACAACAACAATACAGCAAAATAACTCAAAAACAAGGCAATAACATTAACAACACACCATGACGCAATTAAAATCTGTGGCAGGGCCAAATGTAATAATTAAAATTAAAAAGTGCTGGGCATGACCAGGTGAAAAGGGTAGGTGTTTGGAGGGGGATGGGCATGCAGTTATCCTGGCTGGGGCTTGCCTGATGTCCTTAGGGAGAGAGTTCCAGATTCGAGGGGCCACCACCGAGAAAGCCCTATCCCTCGTCCCCGCCAATTGCACTTGCGATGCAGGTGGGATCGTGAGTAGGGCCTCTCCAGATGAACGAAGAGATCGTGTGGGTTCGTACACAGAGATGCGGTCAAGCAGGTAGGCGGGTCCCAAACAGTGTGAATAAATTGTCAATATTTGCTTGAGATAGTGCTTGCAGTTCTGGAGGGACTCTTAATTTTTTTTGCATCTCATAGACTTAGCATGGGGATTTGGTTAACCAGTTAAAATTCATGAGTAAACCAGGTTTTAAAAAAAAATCTGAAACATTTGGGGGGGGGTTGAACCCCTAACCCCCCCCCCCCTCGCTACAGGCCTGGTCAGAATGTTATTTGATTGGAGGTGAACTATAAATCCCAGCAACTACAACTCCCAAATGATGACATCAGTCCCCCAAAAACCCACCAGTGTTCAAATTTGGGCCTATTTGTGCCCAATTTGGTCCAGTGAATGAAAAGACATCCTGCAGATCAGATATTTACATGACGATTCATAACAGGAGCACAACTACAGTTATGAAGTAGCAAGGAAAATAACATTATGGTTGAGGGTGACCACAACATGAGGAACTCTATTAAGAGGTCGCGGCATTAGGAAAGTTGAGAAACACTCGTTGAGGCAGCCATTCAGAGCTTTCCCCTCCGAGTTCGTGGGCAGAAGGACAAGAGAGGCGGTGCCTGGCTGTTTTGGTCGCCTCCTTCGCCCTGCAGCCTCCAGCCCCGGAGCCCTTTGAGCGGGAAGGGCTTCTTCGGAGCGTCGGGAGGTGAGTCTTGGCTGGGCCCCACTTTTCCCTTCGTAAAGGTCGCTTTCCCCTTGGGCAGCCCCTTCTCCTTCCTGGCTGAGCCTCTCGCCGGGCTTCCTGGCAGAGTTTCTGCCTTTCCAGCTATTTCAATCGCCCTGGCTGCCTTTTCCTGGAATGCTGACTCAATGCAATCCTCGAGGCAACCAATCTCGATTCAGAAACGGGATGATATGGAAGTAGACGCGACACTGTTGGCATTTGCAAGACACTGTTTCAACTAACGCTAAAGTTGCAACAGCGTTGGCAACTCCCAGGACCCTATTGGATGGAATCTTGACAATCAGATTCCACTCTTGCCCCCGTTTGACAGGAGGAGGGACCAATCACAGGAGAGGGAGGGCACAAAGCGGAGGCCTGATTGGCTCCAGGGGACCCCTCCAATAAAAGGCCTTGCTCTCAGGAGAAAAACAAGCAAAGCCCGCCCAACAGATGCACCAAGCACTAATGACCTTTTGGGTATTGTCGAAGGCTTTCATGGCTGGAATCACTAGGTTCTTGTGGGTTTTTTCGGGCTATAGAGCCATGTTCTAGAGGCATTTCTCCTGACGTTTCGCCTGCATCTATGGCAAGCATCCTCAGAGGTAGTGAGGTCTGTTGGAATTAGGACAATGGGTTTATATATCTGTGGAATGGCTGGGGTGGGGCAAAGAGCTCTTCTCTGCTGCAGTTAGGTGTGAATGTTTCAGCTGATCACCTTCATTAGCATTTGAAGGCCTGCCTGAGCCTGGGAAAATCTCTTGCTGGGAGGTGTTAATCTGTGCCTGGTTGTTTCCTCTTTTTGGTTGTTGTTGTTGCCTTTTTTAATACTGGTAGCCAGAGAGGAAACAACCAGGCACAGATTAACACCTCCCAGCAAGAGATTTTCCCAGGCTCAGCCCTAGACCCTGAATAACTGGGATAGAAATCTATATAAATAAAAATGCAATGTTCATTTGTGGGATTAACATAACTCAAAAACCACTGGATGAATTGATACCAAATTTGGACACAATACATCTAACAACCCAATGAGTGATTATCACTCAAAAATTGATTTTGTCATTTGGGAGTTGTAGTTCCTGGGAGTTGTAGTTAACTTACAATCAAAGAGCATTCTGAATTCCACCAATGATGGAATTGAACCAACTTGGCACACAGAACTCACATGACCAACAGAAAATACTGGAAGGGTTTGATGGGCAGTGTCCTTTGGTTTTAGAGTTGTAGTTCACCTACATCCAGAGAGCACTGTGGACTCAAACAATGATGGATCTGGACCAAACTCTACACAAATACTCAGTATGCCCAAATGTGAACACTGGTGGAGTTTGGGGAAAATAGAATCTTGACATTTGGGAGTTGTAGTTGCTGGGATTTATAGTTCACCTACAATCACAGAGCATTCTGAACCCCACGAACGAGAAAATTGGGCCAAGCTTCCCATGCATTTTGACCCATCTCTCTAATCTGTCAACGTCGTTTTGAGTTCTGCTCTTGTCTTCTGGGGTATTAGCTATCCCTCCCAATTTGGTATCATCTGCAAACTTGATGATCATGACTTATAACCCTTCGTCTAAGGCAGCAGTTCCCAACCTTCCTAATGCCGTGACCCCTTAATACAGTTCCTCATGTTGTGGTGACCCCCAACCATAAAATTATTTTCGTAGCTACTTCATAACTGTAATTTTACTAGTGTTGTGAATCGTAATGTAAATATCTGATATGGAAGATGTATTTTCATTCATGGAACCAAATTTGGCACAAATACCTGATATGCCCAAATTTGATTACTGGTGGAGTTTGGGGGAAATAGACCTTGACATTTGGGATTTGTAGTTGCTGGGATTTATAGTTCACCTACAATCACAGAGCATTCTGAACCCCACCAACGATAGAATTGGGCCAAACCTCCCACACAGAACCCCCATGTGGGCCACAGCAACACGTGGCAGGGGACGGCTAGTCTATATAAATAAAAATGTAATGTCACACCTAGCCCAACTGACAAAAGTCCTTTGTCCACCCTGGTCATTCCACAGATATATAAACCCCTTTTCCCAGTTCCAACAGACCTCACCTCTGAGGATGCTTGCCATAGATGCAGGTGAAACGTCAGGAGAAATGCCTCTAGAACATGGCCATATAGCCCGAAAAAACCCACAAGAACTTAATGTAATGTTTGTTTGTGGAATTAATAGAACTCAAAAACCACTCGACGAATTGACACCAAATTTGGACACAATACACCTATCAGGACAACGAATGTCCATCACTCATAAAAACATTGAAAAACACAGCAAAAGAGACTTAAAACCCAAAAAACAAAAAAAACATTATAACACATGCGCAAAACCACATATATACACAAACATACATACGCAAATACACACACATATGCATATATACACACACAAAACACATATACACAGAAAGGGGAAGTAAGGAAGGAAGGAGAGAAGGAGGGATAGAAAGAGGAAAGGAAAGGAGAGAAGGAAGAAGTAGTGAAGGAAGGAGGAAGAAGGAAATAAAAAGTGAAAGAAGGAAGGAAAGAGAGGGAAGGGAGAGAAGGAACAAAAAGAGAAGGGAGGGAGAGAAGGAAGGAAAGGAAGGAAAGGAGGAAGGAAGGAAAGGAAGGAAGGAAGAAGGGAAGGAAGAGAAGGAAGATGGAACCAAAGAGCAAAGGAAGGGAGGAAAGAAAAGGAGAGAGAAGAAGGAGAAAAGGAAAGAAAAAGGAAAAGAAAAAGAGGGAAGGAAGGAAAGAGGGAGGGAAGGAAGGAGAGAAAGAAAGAGGAAGGTTTTGCCATAATCACTCATAAAAACACTGAAAAACACAGCGGAAGAGACTTAAAAAGCCAAAAAAAAAAAAAAAATGCCCCAAAACCCCAAACATTACAATGCATGCGCATAACCACATTAATACACATATACAAAAATACGCGTGGCAGGGGACGGTTAGTCTATATAAATAAAAATGTAATGTTCGTTTGTGGGATTAACATAACTCGAAAACCATTGGATGAATTGACACCAAATTTGGACACAATACACCTAACAACCCAATGAGTGATCATCACTCAATTTTTTTTGATTTTGTCATTTGGGAGTTGTAGTTGCTGGGAGTTATAGCTAACCTACCATCAAAGAGCATTCTGAACTCCACCAAAGATGGAATTGATCCAAACTTGGCACACAGAATTCCCATGACCAACAGAAAATACTGGAAGGGTTTGGTGAGCGTGGACCTTGAGTTTTGGAGTTGCAGTTTACCTACATCTAAAGAGCACTGTGGACTCTAGCAATGATGGATCAGGACCAAACTTCGCACGGATACTCAATATGTCCAAATATGAACACTGGTGGAGCTTGGGGAAAACAGACCTTGATATTTGGAAGTTGTAATTGCTGGGACTTATAGTTCACCTACAGACAAAGAGCATTCCAAACCCTACCAAGAATAGAATTGGGCTAATCTTCCCACACAGAACCCCCATGACAGAAAATACTGGGTTTTCTGATGGTCTTTGGCGACCCCTCAGACACCTCCTTGCGACCCCCCCCCCAAGAGTCCCGATCCCCAGGTTCAGAAACACTGGTCTAGATCCAGGGGAGTCATGCTACCCCTTTATTCTGCCTTGGTTAGATCACACCTGGAATATTGTGTCCAATTCTGGGCAGCACAATTGAAGAAAGAGATTGACAAGCTGGAATGTTTCCAGAGGAGGGCAACTAAAATGATCAAGGGTCTAGAGAACAAGCCCTATGAGGAGCAGCTTAAAGAACTGGGCATGTTTAGCCTGAAAAAGAGAAGCTGAGAGGAGACATGATAGCCATGTATAAATATGTGAAAGGAAGTCATAGGGAGGAGGGAGCAAGCTTGCTTTCTGTTTCCTTGGTGACTAGGACGCAAAACAATGGCTTCAAACTACAAGAAAGGAGATTCCATCTGAACATTAGGAAGAACTTCCTGACTTTGAGAGCTGTTCAGCAGTGGAACTCTCTTCCAAAGGCTCCTTCTTTGGAAGCTTTTAAACAGAGGCTGGATGGCCATCTGTCAGGGGTGCTTTGAATGCAATTTTCCTGCTTCTTGGCAGGGGGTTGGACTGGATGGCCCATGAGGTCTCTTCCAACTCTATAATTCTATGATTCTATCCAAGATCGGTGTACTGACGGTGGGTCTGTAGGTGGCTGTTAAGCCCTATTCTTGACCTGCATCTTCTCCCACAGTGAGGGCAATGGTTTCCAGGTGGAAGGCGGTCCCAGTCGGGCTTGGCTTGATGTGCCTACCTCTTGGCACATTTCTCTCTTTTGTCCTCCATTCGTGCCTCTTCAAATTCTGCAGCACTGCTGGTCACAGCTGACCTCCAGCTGGAGCGCTCAAGGGCCAGGGCTTCCCAGTTCTCAGTGTCTATGCCAGAGTTTTTAAGGTTGGCTTTGAGCCTATCTTTAAATCTCTTTTCCTGTCCACCAACATTCTGTTGGAGTAGAGCAACTGCTTTGGGAGACGGTGGTTGTCGGGCATCTGGACATCATGGCAAGTCCAGCGGAGTTGATGGCGGAGGACCGTCACTTCAATGCTCATGGTCTTTGCTTCTTCCAGCACACTGACATTTGTCCACCTGACTTCCCAATAGCTTTATAAAAAAGCACCTTAGTATCCCTACAGATGTCCCGGTTCTCAAACACTTTGTGCTTCATTTGGAAAAAAACTGCACTCGCAGAGCTCAGGAGGTGCTGTATTTCAGTGTCAATGTTGACTTTTGTGGAGAGGTGGCTGCCAAGGTAGCGGAAATGGTCAACATTTTCTAATGTTACACCATTAAGCTGCATTTCTGGCATTGGAGAAGGGTTGGCTGGTGACTGCTGGAAAAGCACTTTGGTTTTCTCGATGGTCAGTGAGAGGCAGAGCTTCTTGTATGCTTCTACAAAGGTGTTTAGAGTGGCTTGTAGGTTTATTTTTTATTTACATTATTTTATTTAGAGGCTTTATCTTACCCAAGTCCCTAAATTGTGGTTTAATTAGGGACTGATACTGCTTCCACTGCGAGGCTAGAAAGGATTTTTTTTTAATGTGGAGCTTGACACATTTTGCATGAATCGGGTGTGGAGTGAGTGCCAGGAAGTTGTGCAATACGAGCCACATGTCTTGTTCCGTTATGGGTTGCTGTATATGAAGCTAGAGGACTAACTGGGGTGGCACTTTCCAGAAAATAAGAGGTGAGTGTTGGTTTCCCCCAGGATCATGCACTGTGATATTAGCAATTTCCACACAAAGTTCAAATGAGGCTAACAATGAATGCCTTTTTCTTCTTTAATCTGTTTTAATCTGTTTTGTGTAGTGATTCTCTGCCTGAATGCCTTAAAGGCATCAGATCCTGAACGATCTTGGAAGCGAAGCAGTGTTTTGGATGAGGAAACACCAACAACAGAAGAAACCCCTATAACATTTGTGGGGTCATAAATTCACAGGTAACTTGAATGCACATACACGCAAGCATGTTTTGAGTAATATGCATTATATTTTGATTGTATTTATTTTTAGTTTTGTGTACAGACAATCCCAGAGTTACAAAGATCTGACTTGCAAACAATACATAGTTAAGAATGGGGATGAGACTTTTTTTATTACAACTGTCTCCTTTTTTTTAATTGTTGTTTACTTTACAAAATACAGAGGTACAGGAATAATATTAAATATTTATACCTCAGTATGATCAGGCATGTAATCATTTCCCCCTGGTTACTCCAGCTATTCTATAGTCTAAACACAATACAAATAGATTGACTGTAGCTCAGAGTCTTATTGATCTTATACTTAGCCGTCTGTCTAAAATTCTCAAAAGTACTCATTTTGTTTTCTTTGTCATCCTGTATCTGCTGAACTGATTCCTTGTTATGTGACTGTTTATTTATTTCATATCAAAAGCATTGCATAAATAAGTATAAAACTGATAAAAATAAAATGAGCACAAGTGGCTAAATATTTTTTGACCAAGAATGGACAATGGTGACCACATTTTCTGTAGCTTTAAACAGTTATACATGAGGCAGAACATTGTGGACAAGCATAGAGATGCGGAGTTGTCTGTTCTGCTCCACAGTCGCACAAGCTGGAGGATTCTTCTAGGTAGTGCCATTGTGCCAGGTTGTCTTTTGATCTGCCCACTCCACTTCTGAGCCTGTTCAGGGTCTTCCAAGTTGATCATTCTTGGTTTTCCCCTGGAGGCAGACCCTCATGTGTATGTGTGTGTGTGTGTGTGGGGGGGGGGGGG